ATCGTTAAATTATGTAGGGTGAATCATATCTCAATAAAGATGTTGGAAAAAATGAAATGAGGCACTCTTTCTGAAAGCAATATTGTTGAAGGTTCAGAACCAAATGTACAATGTGTTACTCTTTATATAAAACACAAACACCCAAGAAAGACTAGGTAAACATTTGGTTGTATGTGCATGAAAAATCTTGGATTTCACTACCTATGCTTTCTAGATCTTTTGGAATTCCAAATCATATAAATGTATTGTCTATTAAATGAAAATTATAACACAAATAATTTTCTCTATCATCCTAATTACACATGCCTATGCTTCATGGGTACACATGGGCATTTTGTGAGACACACAAACTTGGGAGCTGACAGGGGCGTTGAAGATTTATCTGCTAAGTCTGACTGCCCCAACACATGGATAAGAACAAGTAAGATTCAAACTGAGCAATCACAGGTCAGACTTACAATTTCTACCATACGTGAACTTTATTTATTATGACTTCCTTTAAAGCGACTCAACCTTTTTAAATAAGTAAGCTATGATGTTCATGAAATATAGATTTATTTTTTCTCAATGCACTTTGAAATAAAGATAGAAAATTTCATCTGCTTAAAATTTTTTCATGAATCTCAATTTGGAAAATAGTTCATAGTGGAAAAAGTATTTACCTGACCCACAGAAGACCTGATTTTCACCCTCAACTCTCAGTAAACGCATTTCCTTTCTTACAAAATGCTTCTTGAATTTATATTTTATCCCCAAGTGGGGGCCATGCTAACCTTCTCTGTGTTGTTCCGATTTTAGTATATGAACTGCTTAAGTAAGTGCATAAATGCTGTTTATTATTGAGTAAATTCTTTAACCTCTCTTGAGCCCAGTTTCATCTGAATAGGAGGATGAGGCTGACCACTGAGACTCCATGTCCTGACCCAGCGTCTGGGGGTGGTCTGTGGTTACTGCAGGTTTGCACCCCCAGCAGGGGGTACAGTGTTTCTGCTGCCCCTATCGTATTTCCTGAGATGATTTTCCCCCTCACAGAAGAAACCTTCAATTTTAATAAATATACCCATGGCTATGCTTACAGATAAGGAAAACTTCTAGACCCAAATAGGTAACAGTGAAGTTACCACTGCTAGAAAGTTTGCCCCACACCTTTTTCAACCTAAAAACCAGGAAATTCCTGGGATGGTTTTCAACTTTACTTATAAGATATAATTACAAGCTATAACATAGATCACCTTCCTGAAAGAGTGGTTGATACCTAGCAATTACACACTAGGAATTTATTTGAAGGAAAATAAGGAAAGATATTGGCAAATATCCATGACCAAGAACAATCCTAACAAACGGGGTTAGGTAGCAGGTGTAATGGTACAAATCTGTAATCTCAGCACTTAGGAGCCTGAGGCAGGAGGATTGCTGTAAATTTGAGGGCAGCTTGGGCTACACCATGAGTTTTCAGGCTGAATTACATAGTGAAACCCTGTCTCAAAAAACCAAAAGAAAGAAGGAAAAAGAAAGAGAGAAAGAGAAAAAAGTAATAGTAGTATTCATTATCGCAAAAACTGGCTAAATAACATAAATGTCAATAATAGGGAAAATGTTTAAGAACTTCCCACCTTGACGACATTAAGTATTTTAAAGACTGCTTACTGATGTGTGAACATACCCCCAATAAATACAAAGGATATCCAAAATATAACAATGTTATCAATACAAATTGGTAAAAAAGAAGAAAAAGAGAAATATAATAAAAGAGAGCCAGGCATGGTGGCACATTCCTGTAAACCCAGAAAATAAGGTGGCTGAGGCAGGAGGATCACAAGTTCAAGCCCAACTTAGGCAATTTAGTGAGACCTTGTCTCAAATTTTTTTTAAAAAGGGTTTTGGATGTAGCTCAATGGTAGAACACCCCAAGTGGATCTCCAGTACCTCAATCAATCAATCAATAGAAAGCACCAAACAGATCTCCAGTAGTGCAATAGATTGGTAATACCAAATGGTTAATTATAATTGTCTCTGTGTGGTGAGGCACAGTTGTGAAGGATCTTAATTTTCTTTTTTTTAATTCTCAGGATATTTTTATTTCTGAATAATAAATATGATGTATTTTTAGTAACAGAAAGCATGAAGGAAGACAGGAGTAGTGGTACATGCCTGTAATCCCAGCATGCAGACCCTGAGGCAAGAATCCAAATCAGCCTGGACTATACAGGGAGTTCAAGGCCATACGGAGTGAGACCCTGTCTCGAAAAACAGCATGAGCCAGGCATAGTGGCACATGCCTATAATCTTAACACATGAGAGACTGAGGCAGGAGGACTGCTGTGAGTTTGAGGCCCGCCTTGGTTACATAGTGAGTTCAAGGCCAGTCTGAACTACACAGTGAGACCCTCTCTCAAAAACAAAAAGAAGCAAGCAAACAAAAAACCCAGCATGAAACATGAAACAATTTTTAAAAAAGATTACATCTCTTTTGGCTCTGATTCTGTGAAAATATCCAACCCATTCACAAATCTATGTTGAGAATATGTTCTATATATACATTATAGGACTGCGCCAGATACTGTTCTGTAAAAACATTCAGTAATAACAGATTGCTATTCCTATCTGTAATAATCAACAGATTATTAACATCTGTAATAACACTCTCATAACACCGTCCCAGGCTTCATTTTCTGTTTTTCTTGTGAAAGAATGGCCCCTACTCCATTGAAGAGCTCTAGTGAGGGACTCAGCCACTCCAGGATCAGCCGCTTGAGCACCAGCTGGGTGAGTCAGGCATGGTGGGAACCGTCCTAGAGCTTGTGTGTGCCCTGTGGAACTTGCCCTAGCTGAGTAAAGAGCCCAACCCTCTTCACGTACAAGCCCCTTGAACTCTGACCCTGCAGATATTTCTCTCATGACATTCTAATTCTCCTGGCCTGAACTGTTAACTGTTTTAAAGAAGTATCTTTCTTTATTGAAAAGACTATTAAAGACTGCAGAACGGGCATGCACTTCAAACAACCTCTTTCAGTGTTCCTCTCATTATCCTCCAGCCTGTGCTCACGCATGCTCTGTCTTTTTCTCTCTCTTTCTCTGCATCTCCCTTCACCCCTCATTGAACACAGGTCCTTCACACTGAGCCATATTCCCAGTCCTTTTTTTTTTGAGTTCTGAGACAGTGCCTCTTTACCTTGCTAAGTTACCCAACTTGTGATCTTATTGCCTTAGCCTCTCAGAGTGCTGGAATTACAAGCTTGCACCACCATGCCAGTGCTTTTTTATTTGGAGACAGGTTTCCACCATCACGTGCTGCCCAGGGTGACCTTCAAACCCTGTTCCTCCTGAGTAGCTGAGATTATAGGCATAACCACTGGACAGCAAGAATGTCAGGAAATAAGCAAGGCATACTGTTTCTTCGTGTGTGTGTGTGTGTGTGTGTGTGTGTGTGTTTAATTTATTTAAATGGCTTTTCAATTTACTTTTTAAAAATGTTCTGTGTTTTCATAAGTTCCTGAAGGTGCCCCCTAACATATGGTTATGCTTCATTGCTCAGTAATTTTTCTGTTAATTCTTTAAGGATTCGCTGTACTCTGGATAACCTTACATTTAATTACCTATTTCAATATATTGCATCAAGAACACTGAGTAAGATAGTCAACTTAACCTTTTGATAAATTAACTGCAAGACACTTTATTTTTGAAGATCAATGGTGCTTACAGCTGATACATATCTGTAATTTTAGCATTCTAGAGGACAGAAGCAGGAAGAATTGGAGAGGTAGTTCTGAGTAAAGGTCCTGGGTTCAGTTCCCAGTACCAGAGAGAAAAAAAAGTATCAGAAATGAAAGTAGTAATGCACTAGAGATCCTGGGTGCTGAATCAAATAACTCCAAAGGACAAAAATTCTGGGAAAACTTTTCCTTTCTTTTGAATGTCATTAATTTTTAAAGAGATAAAAACCCACCTGGAAATAACTTAAAATGCCCATCAAGAGGTGACTGGTTAAATAAATATAGATGTAGCAAACAGATATTTACTTAAATAGAATGAAATGGATTGCTACATCTCCACGTGGAAAAATATCCCATATACAAAGTGAAACAGACTGGTACAGAGTACATAATTACTTATTGCATAAAATAAGATACATATATATGTGTAATTAAACACTTGTAGAGGGAAATACTGTTCCTTGAAGGACAGAGGCAGACAATGAGAGAAAGCTTTTCTGCCACCACCCCCCCAACACCTCCCCAAGCTAGTTGGAGACAAATCCCAAATTGCCCAGGGTGGGCTGAAATTCGAGATACTTCTGCCTCAGCCTTCCAGAGTGCAGCGGTTACAAGCATGTAGTCACCACGTCAGGCTTCTCTGTTTTCTTTCTTTCTTTTGTCTCCCCTTTTCTCCTTGTATAGGCATTATTTGTATGTAACTGCGCTTAAAAATGTTTTGGAACTTAAAGGTCAACATTAGAGGAAGGGAATGTCCCTGCTGTTGGCTTTTTAAAAATCGCCCACCTGACACAGAATTTACATATCACAAATTCACCCATCATAAAGTGTTGACTGGATTTTGTGCTGAGCTGTAAGAATTTATTTGGCACGGGACACCAATCTTACAAAAACAACTTTCGTAGCTAAGAAATCTCTGGAAGTATCAAAACCCAAGCCAATTTTGTGATCGCAACAAGGGTAAACAGTCTTGCGATTAGGAGCGAAAGGTCAGAACTCCAAGCGCCCGGACTTAACCAGAGTGGGAAACAATGTAAGACCAGGCAGCCCCCAGCACGGCGAAGGCCACTTTCCGGTGCACGCATGGCGAAGCTGCAGCCCAGCTCCGTGGAGCCTCGGAAGCACCCGCGCCCAGGGCTGGATGCGCCTCTTAAAGCCAAGCGGCCCCCCTGGCCCGCAACTGCGAGCCGATCCCAGCCTCCCGGTCCTCTTCCCCGCAGCTGCCCGGGAGGCCGGGCCCGGGGCTGTGGAGGGAGACCGCGGCGCCCCGCCCGGCCCGCGCCCCACCTGTGCCCTGCAGCATGTTCTGCCGCAGCAGGTCGCCGCTGGAGAGGTGCTTCAGCTCGAAGTGCTGGACGATGCGCGACGACACGGTGCCCTTGCCGGAGCCCGGGGCCCCCATGATCACTGCGCGCAGCAGCCGCGCGGACGCCCCCATGGCTGCCGGGGAGGCTTCGGCCTGGCCTGCGCGCTCCGGGCTCCGCGCCCGCCCGGCCGGCTGGCTGCGCTGCGCTGCGTTGCGAGCAGGCGGCGGCGAGACGCCCGGGCTCTCCCGGAAGTGAGCGACGGCCACCAGGGCGCCCCGCCCGCCGCCGCGCCCGCCCCGGGCCACCCGGGTGCACCCCCTTCCCGCCCGGCCCGGCCCGGCCCGGCCCGCCCTGGCCCTCGGCGCTCCCTCTGCCCTCCGCCTCCAGAGCCCCCACCGCCTGCCACTCCCCAAGCCCCCCACATCCACCGCGTGCAGATCTAACCGCGGAGACCTCGCTCCCCTCGGACCGCCTGTGGCAAGTCCCCTTTCCTTCCCACCTCTAGTAACCCCTTTTTGCGTCTCGGTCACCACTCCACTCGCATTCCCCCCCACACATCCATTTCGGACCCAGCCCTTTGTCCAGGGTAGCCCCCTCCTGCCCGGTGCCTGCCAGACAGCGCACATGCCACCCCGAGTCCCTGGCAACCCTGCCTGTCTCTCCACCTGGCTCCGGCATCCCCTTCCCCTCTGCTCCACCAGCCACCACAAACCAGCTTTCACTTCTGTCTCCTCTTGCCTCCTTCTCCTGCCCTGCTGTGTCTCCCCGATTGTGTAGAAACACTGGAGGTACCTAAAACTGGGGGTAACAGGCAAAACTCCCTCATTTCAGTTTTCTTTGAGTGCACTTCTAACGTCACACATCCAGTGAGCCAGGCTCTTACCTCCTCTTACCTCCCAAGATCCAGCTTTCAAAATCAAAAATAGCTGCCTTTTTACTCTGCAGACCCTAAAAGTACTGGTTCCTCGGGGAACACTGCCTTCATTTCATAAATATTTAGCGCCCGCTAAGCGCCGTGGCTCTTAGGAGACTCAGAATGTTGTAGTGAACAAAAAAAAGTTTTTGCTTTCTGGAGTTTCAAGTCTAGTAGTGGAAGCAGATCATACAGAGAAAACAACGAGCCGGATAATTTGAAATATTGCTATAAATAAAAAACAATGTAAAAAAAACCACAAAAAAACAATGTGACAGTATGGTGGGAGGCTGTTTTAGATCTGATGGTCAGTAAAGTTTTCAAGATGTTAGTATTTGCATCCAGGCTCGGTGGTGCAGGCCGGTCATGCCAGCACCCCCGGAGGGGGGCGCTATGCAGTGACTACTGCATTGGAATATGGTGTGCCAGTGATGCCAGCTGGGAGGAAGGCTGCAGGACTGAGTGTTTAGCAGGTTCCAAGAATAGAAACAAGGAATATTGAATAGCACTTTATCTGTAAAACTGGCCGAGAGTAGTGAAAATAAATATCCATTGTCCTTTGTTACTACCCCCACTCATACCATGATAAGGCTGTGTGAAAATAACTGCCATCTTCCTTGGAGGCTGCCACATGAGTGGTTCAAAACTGCTTTCAATTCCAAAGAAGATGGAAATCGTTTTTAAGAGAGGTGGCAAGAGAAAGCTTGCGCAGAGCAAAACTGAGCTGAGTGAACAGGCAAGGGGATTTCAATATGCAGGCAGGCCTGTTCTTAAAAAGAAAATTAGTTACTCATACATATTCACACCGAGCAAGAAAGAATGAACAAAAAATGAGTTAAACATTCATTTCAGGTAGCTAAAAAAAGGCCATTTAAACAAGCCAAGGAAGGGATTAAATAAACAGCTTACAGAATTGACAAACGAATGAAAAAGTCTGGACAGGTCCAAGTTATGCAATACTAGAAAATCCAAAGCTGGGAAACATCTGTAGCTTTGGCTCCAGAAGAGACTTAAAAAAAAAAAAAAAAAAACCTTGGGAAGTTTGGCTTAGGGAAAAATATTTAAACAAAGAATAGCCGAGGAATTAATTGTTCTGCAACTAGGGGCATGGGGCGAGAGGTGAAACTGAGTGCTGTAGTCACACTGACTGGCCCCCAAAATGCCAACCTCCTTTGGCTTTGCTAAAAGCCAGTGATTACAAATGAGTGAGCACAGGCCAAACTGGAAATCTCCTGGCAGCTGTACCTAGTGCCATTTCCCCACATACAGGTAGCTGAATGGGTCTGCTCGCAGTAGAACTTCCTCCAATACGTAAAGACAGAGCTCAGAATTAATACAGACCTAGTGAGGTTTGCTCAAATCGTATGTGACCACATGTTTATACAGATTCATTTGAATAAAAGCCCCACATGAGTGCTTCGCGCACAGTACGCATTCAGTAACTATCTGCTGACATTAACTGCTAAGATTCACCGTAAGGTCGCACTGAAGACTGGAATATTTAAGAGCTCTAGAATACACAGCAGGGGGGCAAGGGCTACAGTCCTTCATCATGGGTAAAAGTGTTTCTCCTCAAAGATGCATTGGAACTATGGTCCTGGGATCACCTCGTACTTCAGAATATGGCCTGATTGGGGAGTAGGGTTGCAACAGACGAATTAGTTAAAATGGAGTCTTTCTAGAGTAGGCTCAGGCCCTTAACCCAATATGATGTAAAGGCCCAAGAGGACAATGCCTTGGGTTCATGGAGACATAGAGACTGAAGTTAAGTAGCTGCAAGCCAAGAGACAGGGAAGATCACTGTCCACACCAGAAGCCCAGAGTTGGGAAATTCATTCTGTCTCAGTGTCTCTGAGATCACAACCCTGCCAGCAGCTTGGTTTCTCCTGTAGCCTCCAGAGCAGTGAGAGCACAACTTTTAGTGTTGTAAGCTTCCCACTTGGTTAGGGGCAGCCCTAGGAAATGCATGTACATGCACATGTATGCATGCTGGTTCACACCTAAGTTAAGTGCATGAGAAGGAAAGAACAGAACGGCTTAGTGTCTGAGAAGCCATGACCAGGATTGCAGGGGGTAAAGAGAGAAGAAAGGTATATCAGTTTCTAAGCCTAGAAAGCCACTCCTGGATCCCAGCAACAGGACATTTTCTATCATATTGTGTTGATTCTCTGCTGGTTTCTCCCTGGCTCACATCTGTGGCTAAAACTGGCAGCTCAGCTGGGATGGCTGGGGCTCTCCCCACTAGATCTTTGTCTTTCGTTTCAGGTTGCTTCCTATTCTGTGGTCTCAGGATTCTTAGAGGGAAGTTTCAATGTGCAAGTACTTCTCACACTTTGTGATGCTCCACTGGCCACAGCGAATGACACAGCCAAACTCACAGTCGCTGTGTGAGGGAACCACACACATACGTGAACACAAGAGGCACAATTCATTGGAAACAATTATTGTAATGGTCTGACATGGACTCAATTGTGTAGTTATCGATTGCACTTTAACAAGCTAGTTCAAAACTCAGGAGTGTTAAACAACGTTTATTATCTCACATTTTCTGTGGGTCTGGAATTGAGGCCTGGCTCAGCTAGGCACCTCTGCCTCAGTCTCGCTCAATGTTGCCTTAAAAGTAGGGGCAGGAGCTACCGTCATCTTGAGCCACGACCTGGGGAGGATCCACTGCCAAGCTCACTCGTGGCTGTGATAGGTTGTAGGTCTTACATGGTTATTGGCTAAAGATAGCAGTTTCAATCCCAAACAAGAGAGATAAAGTAGAAAGAAAAGAAGCAAATGAATGTATAAATGCCAGGTGTTTAAAGGTGTCACAGAGAAAAATCTAATGGGGAAAGGGAAGGTAGGGTGAGGTTATGGCGGTCAAGGAGCCTCCAGATAGGCTGAGAATTTGAGATCTAAAGGAAACGTGGGAGCAAGACATTGAGATATCTGGAAGAAGAATGTTCTACAAAACATGAGAAAAGCAACTTCAGCACCCCTAAGGAAAGGATGTGTTTGTATTTTCCAAGGATAGAAAAGCCAGTCTAAAGAATCAGAGAAAGCAAGGAAGATAACAGGAAAATTCAGAGCCAGGCATGGTGGCCTTTGCCTGCAATTCCAGTCTGCTAGAAGGCTGAGGCAGGAGGATAGCACGTTTGAGCCCAGCCTGGACAACTTAGCAAATTAGGGAGATAAATATAATATAAAAAGGGCACATTCAGGAAGGCTCTGAAGGTCCAGATCGCAGGAGGCCTTTTCAGTCATTGCAGTGAATAGTATTATTCAAAAATGGCTACACCACATGACCACCTTCTAGTCTACCTGCTGTTGTAATGTGACTCTGACACTATTCTGATCAAGAGAAAGGATTTGTGTCATTCTATTTTTGAAACAGTGTCTCCCTGTGTAGATCACACTGGTTTGAACTCACTGTGTAGCCCAGGCTAGCCTTCAACTCACAGCCATCCTCCTGCCTCAGCCTCCCAAGTGTTGGGATTACAGGTGTGCCACCAAGCCCCACATTCTGTCCTCTTGCTTTTAAACTGGCTTTGCTTTGGTGACTGTTTGGCGAGATAGAAATGATGCTATGTGACTTTCAAGGCTGCAAGCATTAAAAGACAGTGTAGCTTTTGATTTGTTCACTGGAGCTCTCATTTTTGGGAGCCTGCCTCTTAGGACTGCCTCTTAGAGACTGTGACTACCCCCAAAGACACCATGCTATAAGAAAGCACAGATAGTCCACATGGAGAAGCCACTTAAGGAAGTCCTGAGACTGCATAAAGAATGTAATGTTGTTTCGTCCTCTGTGTTCCAACTCCAGCCCTCTGACTGTACCTGATGAATCACCTCCAGCCCAAGCCACCCGTCTGAGTAATGCCCAGAATCCTGGCCTACAGGCACCGCAAGAAAATTCAGTGAGGTGCTGATTTTAAGCAGCAATGCAGGAAAAAGAAGACGATGGTTTGCATTTTTGTGACAGTGGTCCAGGTAATGGGAACTGAATACTTGTATTCATTCTCAAACTTAGAGAAAAGTTACCAAGTACAGTACAAAGAATCTTTTTCATCACTCTTGAATACTTTCGTGTGCTTTCCTACAATAACATTTTTGCATAAATACCATATTTCAAAATCAGAAAATAATATGGTTAACATCTAATCTCAGGCTCTAATTTTCCTCAAATGTCCCGTTCATGTCTTTTATAACAGAAGTCATGGAATCACAGGTTGCATTTAGTTGTGTGACTTTTCAGACCTACACATTGCATTGGTGGACATGTTCTCACTCTCTTTCAGTCTGGAACAGTTCTTTGATCTTTCTTGACTTTCATGACCTTGACATTCAT